AAATAAAACATAAATAAATATAAAAATAGAGACGATAACTGTTATTTAAATAAATGTCATCCATGTGTTAGTATTTAAATGTTTTTATGTGTGTGTACTGATATCATATATAATAGTACAACAGTCAGTTTAACTACATTTTACTGACTTTACTTACATATTTTTACTCGTTCATTCATTTTCATTGCAGGACTTTTACTTGTAATAGAGTATTTTTACTTTTACTGCAGTAAATGAGCTGAATAAGTTTCCACCTCGGAGCTCAAAGTGTCTGTTTGGTGTTTGTTTGTTGTTTTTCAGGTCAACCCTTTAATATATATTTTAATTTACAGTTAATATTGTCTCACAAGAAGGTTAATTAATAAATAAAGTTTGTAGTTAACGATATCTGTCGAACAGTAGCTGTTATCTATAAAGGAAACAATGATTTAAAGTTTCAGTACAGATATTTAAATAACATCTGTTTCATTATTGTACCATTATTTTATAGTTATTTACTTTTTGTGTATCACAACGATCATTTTGCTTTTTCTGTCAAAGCTCTAAGAAAACTCTGTTTATTACATTATACAGAAAGCACAATAGCCCATTTATATTTAAATTTTTACTTCATTTTGTCTAAATTAAATTAAATTTGAATGTTTGTAATTTTATAAATAAAAAAGTTCTTTGTGATCCAGTTTGATAATAATTATCTTTGTAGTTTGAGTTTCTATATGTTTTACAGTAAATAAAATACACAAACACATTTTTGCTGAACAGTAATTGCTTCATGAATGTTGCTGATTTCACATTATTGATTATAATTATAATCAATCATATTGTATATTGTATATTTAATTAAGTTCTGCTCTTAATATTGTGCTCTTTGTACTTTAATACTTCCATTTTATCCTGTTTTTTACTTCCATTACATTTATTAGCTGCTTTAGTTCCTGATTATATAACAGATTATAATTTTATATATTATTAATAATCTGATATAATCTAATCGCAAACTCTAATAGTTTTAGGAAACAGAGTGAGACCTCCTCATATCTGCCTCCACAGCTTCTACGACAATAGACGATCTTTGCTTCAGGAGTCCGTCTCTTTCCCGCCGTCCCCGAAAAAATAAACAAAAACTCGATTTAAAAACGTGAAATAAAACACACGCAGCGTTTTCCACATATAATAATAAGCCATATTTAATTTTAAGTTCAGTACATTATCACGTTCCACTGTTATAAATGAATATTTTATGTAAACAAAACACGACGTTCAAACGTTCCTAGCTAGCTTGTTTCTCCCCGGTGGCTTTACGCAGACGGACCGAAGCAACATGACAGCTGATAAAGTGGCAGCAGGAAGTGAAGAAGAAGATAAACTACAGATTTTAAAAGGCAAGTTAAAGTTTAAACACGTGAGTTTGTAGTTTACATTAACTGTGACTGCAGAATGAAGTTGTTGTAGTTTAAAGTCGGTTTTCAGTCTAAAGGTCGGAACAATGTCAGTCTGCACTTTCCACACCAGACTCCTTAAAATCACTCATTTTAATGTTTGTTTAATCATTTATCTTGTGAATACTGAATGTGTCTGCTGCTGTATTTGTAGTTCTCTCTGTGCTCCACTTTACAGCCGTGCAATAAAACCGGGACACCAGACTCCATTCAAAAATAATACAATTTAAGTTTCCTGTGTTTGTCGAGTATTCAACCTAAAACATTAAATATGATTAAAGGTTGTTTCTGGAACATTAAGTTCTTCTGATCAGTTCGGCTCCATGTAATCCATCAAAATCCTTTATTTGTTTCTATTTATTCAACTTCTGCTGGAACACATCGTGAAGAGACACTGGTGATTTAAATGTGATTAATATTAATGTAAATGTTGTTTGGTAATTTATTGTGGTGCTAAATCATGTTGAGATGAAGATTATAAAGTCAGACTTTACACACTGACTCTCCATTCAAAAACACATTGGTAATAATTTATTTTATTTAAATCTTCAGGTTCCTGCTGCTCTGAGTTCCCTTTTCCACACCAGACTCCTCTTAAAAATCAGGCGTTTTAATGTTTCCTTAATCATTCACCTTGTAAATACTAAATATGTTTGTTGCTGTATTTGTAATTTCTGTTCTGTGCAATAAAACAAGACTACCAGACTCCATTCAAAACTTGTTCAGTTTAAGTTTCCTGTGTTTGTCGAGTATTCGGCCTGAAACATTAAATATGATTAAAGGTTGTTTCTGAAACATTAAGTTCTTCTGATCAGTTCGGCTCAATATAATCCATCAAAAGCTCGTGTATGTTGTCACTTTCTCTTAACTTACCTCCTCTAACACTGAAATCTTCTTTCTTTATAAAGTCAGAAACACATTTAGAACAGTGACTTCGGTTTCATCGTCTCTCTTCCTGTGTGCAGGTGCGGCGTTCCTGACCACGGTGGCGTCTGCAGGGATGGTCGCAGGATTTGGCTCCACGTTGGCGCTCGCCAAGAAAAAAAGCCCCAACTGGTTTAATAAGGTACACGACTCCATCAGTTCATGGGGGGAAGTTATTGATCCGTCTCAGATATCAGTGCAGCCTGTTCGTGACTTCCTTTCAGTCGGAAACATTAAGAACTTTAATGAATTAAAACCCATAAAACTGATTCTTTAGAGAGTTTAGGAGTTCATTAAACCCTTCAGCAGGTTTCAAACAACACGTTTGTGTTCATTGTCGGTTAATCAGCTTAATATTTATACATTAATCTTTTTATAAAATGTCAGAAAACAACAGGAAGGTGTTCTAGTAGAAGTGGAAGTTATTGAAATGTTTAGACGGGATGTTATTTTCCACCAAAACCAAGATGGTTTAGTGCATTGTTGGGAAACAGCTGACAGCAGGACGCTTTTAATGGGAGTTTTATTTTCTGGGTTTCTGTCCACTTTAATGAAGTTACGCTGATCTGTGAGAATAAAGGTTTTTCTTTATGGAGTCTGGTGGAGAGTGACTGATATTAACCTGCTAACAGAGAACTTTTAATGGACACAGTTTGACTAAATGTGAATAAAAACAGGCTGAAAACGTTTGAGAAACTGGTGACAACTATAAAAATAGTAATCTAATCGGATCAGTTTCAGAGTTTAAACTCTCCGAGCGACCGAACAGAAAACATCTGGACACATTCCTCCAGAGGTCGACCTGCGGAGGAGAAGCTGTGCATGAAATGTCCTTTAACCGGTTCGCTGTGATTATTGGCTCCTCGCAGGATCTGATTAAACGTGACGCACACGGACGTTTGTGTCCGAGATAAACTCGTCGTCGAGGCACAATCGGGCGCTTGTTCCCAGACTCTATTTCCGTCACAGACTCGTCTTTGTCGTCTACGTCGGCCCCTCGGCCCCAGAGGCCCCAGAGGACCGAGATAACAGTGACATGAGACGAAATGAGGACCTTCAGGAATGTTTCTGCATCTCAAACTGCTTTAATTCTCCGTTCGGACGCTAAAACTGTAGATTCTTATTAATGTTATTACACCGCACGGCCAAAAGTGTGTTTTCCTTCAGTCATCAATACTTTCATATAAAAACAGAATTCAGACACCAGATTATTTATTGATATGTGAGATAGTTTTGGCCTAAAAAGAAGAATTAAACATACGATTCCTGCCACTAGGGGGCGCTCACATTAAAACAAGGAGTGTGATGAGGTGGTGAAGCAGCATCACATCAAATCATATTGAAATAAAAACAGAATTATTAGTTTAATGTATTTAAAAAACCTGAACAGGAACTGAAGGGTTAAACAAACTAGAGCAGCCTTCAGTAAAAAGGTCAAAGGTCACCGTTAATGTGAGAAACCTGTTTCTGACCTCTGACGTTAAGAGGAGCAGTTGATCATGTGACTGCAGACGGTCTGAGGACGACATCTGAAATCTAATAAAGACCTTAAAACATCTTTAATATGATTCTGATTTCATTTCATTTGATTAATAAAGTTAAAGTTACTGACAATAATGATGATAATGATAATAATAATCTTTAATGTGTTTGTATTACGTTAACAACCAAACCGACAGAACAAACTCTGATTTTCCTTCGTTCTTTGGATGTAAATCACATTTAAATTGTAAAAAAAAACAGTTGAACGTCGTCTTCACGTTGTCTTCACGTTGTCTTCACGTTGTCTTCACGTCGTCCTGCCTCTGGTCCTCTGCAGGGGGTCATGGGGACGGCGGCGGCCCCGGAGAGCGGAGCCTCTCTGGCCCTCAGAGCTCTGGGTTGGGGCTCTCTGTACGCCTGCTGTGGAGTCGGACTGATCAGCTTCACTGTGTGGAAACTTCTGGATGTTCACAGCGTACGTAAGATTATATTAATGTGTATATTATAATATTATCTACAGATAATGAACTTCAGTTCATATACTGATTGATTGATTGATTGCAAAAGAACCTGCACAATAAAGAATAAAGTCAAAATAAAGTTTTTTTTAATGTATTCAGAATATTTTTTGCTGGAATATAAATAAAAGTCAAACTTGAAAATATTTAGTGAAATGTTAAAAATCTAAACATTTTTTTACATTTCTAGAATATTGAAATGTTTTGAGGAGAAAAATTGTGAGAATAAAGTAAAATTTTCTATTTTTCTCATTTAAAATGTAATATTGCAAGAACAATATTTAAACAGAAAATATGTTGAGCAAAAATTGTTGTAAAATTTTGAAAATAAAGTTAAAATGTTTCAAAAAAAAAAATCTTTTAATTTCTAGAATAATTTAATATTGAAATATTGAGAAAAAACTGTAAAATTGCTGCAATTTAGTGAAAATATTTAAAGAAAAGTCATAAAATATTTGTAGAAATAAAAACAGACATTAAAGGTTTAGTTCTCAGTTAAAATCTCTGCTGCTCAAATATAAAATATTCTTTAATTATTTCCAGCCAAACACTAAAACTATTATTGTTGTTGTTATTGTTGTTGTTGTTGTTTCTCTGAGGAGACAGAAGGACGATGATAAATTAGCTGACGATGTTTCTCTCTCTGACGTTCTTCGTCTCTTCAGCTGTCGCAGTTCAGACAGAAGATGCAGTCCTTGTTCCCGTCCATCCCGAAGTCCACAGCGTCTGCAGCCGGATCAGAACCTCCGGACTGGGACGCCGTCTTCAAGTCAAAGTAACCTGATGCTGCTGGAAACAGACGGAAACCGCTGACATGAAGCTCCAGAGACTCTCCGAA